ATCGGTGAGGACACTCAAGCTGACGGACAATTGGTTGAAGGTGAGTGCAGTCAAATAGGGTTACCTCAAATTTGTTATTATTATTTGTGAGTTTTTAAAAGAGGTTTGTGAGTTTTTTGTCTAACCATACTTTGCTTTATTATCTCGACTGGTTACGCAGTTATTTTGAAACTTCAGCTGCTAGCAAGATAATTGCTGAACTTAGCACTGCCCGGTAACTCTTATGGTTTATCCATTTTCTTTACAACCAACTACAAATGATTTATTTCATTAATGTTATTGAGCTTTGGGTTAGTTTTGGTTACTATAAACTATATGCGTTAGGGTACCCCATAAACACACTTTTTTGAAATCTGAAGCGCTCTAGTTCCAAATGTTGACGTTCTACATTCTAATTAAAATTCAGAGAAGAAATTTCAAGTAGGCTGATATCTTGTGGTTCGTTCCGGTCTGAAAATCCGCTTTAAAAAAATTCCAAACCAGGAAAACCGTGTAGTATCTTTAAAAGAGAGTTTCTAGATATTCCCGCCTGACGAAATTGCCCTAAATATTTCTTAAAAACGACTAAAATATATTTGTTGGCATATTTTTTTTTTTTTTTGCCACTAGCACATCGCCAAACTATTTCGAAAAACGCTTAAAAGTTACGAAAAACTTTACTTTCTTCATGGATTGTTTTTGAAGTCAGATTTTTCAAATTGATTTAAGCTTGTTTAAAATGTAGCGCTCTCTAGCCTCGTACTCTATCACATTCTATGTTGCATCTGTTATCGTTTTCACGCATCTCTCTACACCTTGAGTATGATTAGACAGCTTTGGACTTGCAAGTTTCGGCGGATCTTCCATTTCAAGCTACTTCTTTAAATTATCACAAGTAATGCCGTCAAGAAGTGGTGAAGCAGTTATTTTACAGCTCCGTGTAGTCAATTGCTCCAGGTTTAATTGTATTCCTAGGTGGCTTCGAAAATCTCAGAGATCGTATTGATTTCTTCTTCGGCCTGCCAACTTTGTTCAGATGCAACTTTTTTCAATCTCAAGTTCTCTTGGTAACAGGATCCGAACGAAGCCTGCTTTCCTGACATCAACCCAATCATCTACGACCACTGTTAGCAAAATATTTTCATTGGCAATTTATGATTGTTCCTCAATGGGTCCGCGTTATTGGTCAAAGACGAGGTTCCGCCATAAAGATATGACTAATTCAAAAATATTAAAAAAAAAACCAGTGTAATGTAGAATAACAATATGGGTACCCCATGAGAGAGAAAATCCTGTAGAATTAAAAAACAATAAACCTTTTTAGTTTACAAGGACGAATAGGTATTGAAAATGTGCTTTTAATATATTTTTATATTTTTAAGTTAATAAATTTTGCAGGAGCAAATTCGTTGATGAAGTCGTGCGTTTATTAGTCCCCAAGCAATAATTAAAAAAATGCAAATTTTCAAGGATATTTAAATACATAATTTTGAAAGGACATTTTCCATACCTATTCGTTTTTATGCACGTTATAATTCTACAGAATTTTTTCATTTATATGATATCAATATTGCTATCCTACATTGCACTGAAATTTTTAAATAATTTTTTGAAATAATCATATTTTTAAAATTTCAAAATCCTTTTAAAAACAATTCCGTCGTCAGAAAGAAAAATTAAGTACACGATTTTACTATAATTTACCCATAATATATTCCTTTTTTGGTGTGTAAAATTTACTGTCTCACGGTGTTATAAGTATCCAAAAATTAATATCCAGTTTTTAGGTTACCAAAAACTTATGTCAAGTTTTTTAGGGCCAAAATTTATGTCTACTTGTTTAAATTAAAAATCCATAATCAGCTTTAAAACACCAAAAATGTGAGCTTGGCTTTTAAACCAGCAAAAATTTATATCCAATTTTTTAATAGACAAAAATGTTTCACATTTTTTAAATTGCCAAACAAATTTTCCCATTTTTCATGTCCAAGTTTTAAATTACCCAAAATTTTTGGTAGCTTTAATATCGTCGCTACCATGTCAAACTATCGACTGTGCAAAAATGCTTTTTCATTTACGATTAATTGCGCATGCGTTTAGAAAGATATGTACGTAAGTTGGCAAATGGTCGAATTTCTAGTATTCTTAGAAGCAGAGCACATAGCGAATCCCACACTTTTTCCTAACGACAACAATATTTTTTACAACAGTTTCTTTGCTCTCCTCAAAAGTAAAAGTATTTATGTTATTGAAAATGTATGTTCAATTTTTAATTTACCAAAAAGAGTTCTTAGTTCATAAGAAATAAATGCCCAGTTTACAGGTTATCAAAATTTGATGTCTAATTTTTGAATTGCCAAAATAATAACAAATTGATGTAGGGTTTTGTAAGTTACCAAAAATTATGTCCTACTTTTAAATTACCAATAATGTGTGTCCAGTTTTGAAGTAATCAAAAATGCGTGCTAGATTTTCAAGTAGCTAACATTTATGTTAAGATTTTAATTTCAAGGGCCCAAATAAATTAGCAGAGCACAGCATTACTTTCAGAATTTGAGGCGGTACAAATTGTTGCACAACATGAAAAATCCTTATTTATAGGGAGGTATATGTAGAAATGTTTCCAGTTAGCCAACCTAAGCTAAGTAATTTGTATCCTAATAAATACAAAGTATAAGCCCTATTATAAAAAATAAAGTAAGCTTTAAAAAAGGTTTATAAATTCTAAAAATGATATGAAAACGTCGATTTATAAGCTCTTTAAACCTACTTTATTTTTTATGAATAAGGCCATTAGAATATAAGTGCTAAAATAATTATTAAAAAAAAAAATGTGTAATGAAAATCTGAGCAACCTGAAAAAAAAATATAAATTTATTTTTGGCATGTAGGCGAAGAGTAAATACATAGTGAGAGTTTGAGGCTAAGTTTTTAAATATAATTTTGAAAAAGTCCAATCTGTTTATACATATACAGATTTAATTATGCGAATTTATTAAATGAAAATGCTTAAACTTTTCATACTCAGATTTATCAGCCAAAAGCTTTGCAAAAACTGCCCCAAAACAAATTTTTCAATTTCATCTATCAATGACAAGCTTTGCATACTTTTTCTCATCTTTCCTACCTTTTTCTCGGTATTCAGTGGAGGCAAATTGAAAATTTTTTTCCCTTTCTGCTCCCCACCAAATTGGTTGCGCTTTGTTAAGTATTTCCTCATACATATAAGTACGCACACATACACACATTTGTGTTTGTGCATCCATACAGACATAAATATGTACCAATGTGTGGGAGTGAATTCATGCGTGAAGCATCCATATGTACGCCATCCAAAACTTTGGAAACACGCTTCCTACCGCACTTTTCATCCCAGGTATGTATATTAGACTGCATCACCAAAAAAAAAAAGTTGCTNAATATTTCGGAAAAGTATTAAGATTTATGCGAGCTAGACCAATTTGAAAATACCTCCAAAAATGAAGTTTTTTATGAATAAAAATAGTTTCTTAAAGAACTTTTTGAATAAGTTCCCTCAGATGACAAAACAGATTAGGCTTAAAAAATCTGCATAAAAATATTTCAAAATCTTTTCAACGAAATGGTAATGAAATTTTTGATGCTGTTTTTTTCTACTTTTTTCAAAGATCGATTTACGAAAAACTTAAACAACTGGGCAAAAACTATTCTAATTTAGACTTTTGGGATATCGGTAGAAAGGTATTTTCACACTATTTTTTATTTATGGGCAAAAAAAGTGATTCGTATCCCATATTTTTTTTTAAATACCAACACATCTTAATTCAACTTTGAATGATATTCCTCCATCCTACCTTTCTCTTGCGTCTTTTGAATGAGCTTATTTGCAAAGAAATTAAAAGGGCGAAAAAAAAACCTTTCGAATGATACCTCACAAATCTAAATCGGAAGAGTTTGGGTTCAGTTTATCAAGTTTATCTTACACCAATCTTTGTAAAAATTCAAAAACAGCATCAAAAATGTCATTATTACGATTCTGTTCTAAATTTTTTTAAAATATTTTAATGCAAATTTTTCAAGCTTAACCCGTTTTGTCATTTGAGGGGATTTTTTCAAAAAATATCTTTAAGAAACTTTTTTTATTCATAAAAAGCTCCATTTTAGCAGGTATTTTCAAATCGGTCTAGCCCGCTTAAATCGTAATATTTTTACGACATATTTTGGTGGATGTCTTAGAATATATTAGGTTTCATAATTCCAATAGAAAAACAGTACCGATTTTTTTTTTTTGTTTTGTATGGGGACTGATGCAGTCTAATGTATATACATACATATGTAAGTCACTTTTATAGAATTTTTTGTTGCTTGCGAGTATTTTCGGTGCTATCCATGATTGTTCTTTTTTTTTGTTTGTCTTGCTATCTATTTGTGCTGCGTGTGTACGTTTTTTTCTTGTTTTTTTTTGTTTTTTTTTGTTTTTTTTTTGTGTTAACATGCTGTTAATTGCTGTAAAAGCGCCGAAATCGCGCGCTCCACTAGCTACTCACATAATCGCGTGTAAATCTACGCTTTTGATGAATGCGCGCTCATTCAGCCATTCATTCATTTGCTCATTCGTTCACTTATTGATTTTGGTGCGTAAGCTCGCGCAGTGGTTAGTGAAAAATGGAACAAGTTAACTTACCAAGTTTTTTTCAGCAAAAATTTCGTACTGCCTGCTGTTCAAAGAAAAAGTTTGCAAAAAACTTGGCGTATTTGCATCTTGCTCATAATTGGTAAATTTGTTAATGGCAATTCGTTGGTGATGTTTTTTTACTACCAGGCGCGCAGTTCTATTTATCCGCTTGTTAGGCATGTATAGGCTTTTCGTGGAAATGGTATGGAATTCTTGAAAATCAACATTTTTCGAAAGGAAGACTCTGGTTCCCTTCAGGAGACTTCCAATAACATAATCCAATTATTTATTTAACCATTTTTTAATAATGGAGATTTTTTACTTATCCACCCATGTCATTTCCGGCATTTTTTAGGGGGTTTGGCGGCCCTATAAAATGTAGTTACTAAGAAAAAAATGTTTAAAAA